CCCCAAAACCCCAAAACCCCATCAGAAGTCCTATAGTAAAGAGTAAGAATAAAATAGAAATTAGCATATTATAAAATATATAATGTCGTTTTAAAGGAAATAGACTGCAGCTAGTAAATCAAGAGACTTTAAAAAGCAGTAAACTCAAAAGTTTAATCAGAATCCGACTAATCTATTCGGAATGGACTCTCTTGAAGAATTACTTCCAATAGATACCTTAATGAATATCACTTATTAAACAGGTAAAATATTAGTAACTAAATTTTTTATCAATTTAGGGCAATCAACAACACAGCCAGAGGAAAATAGTTAAGGGCGTATAAATATTGATAATAGTCTGTATAACTCTACTGCCTATCATAGCAATAACATATTCAAAAATGAAACTGAAAGTTCCTACACGGTAGAGCCTAAAAAGATAATAAACTTTAGGAAATTCAAGAAAACCACACATTATTACAAGACCTCGTATTCGAAACTGAATTAATAATTTGACCATGGTGGAAGTAAAGATAACTTACTAGGAGAATTAATGTAAGAGCAGTAGAATTAGAAATTTTATCATTAAGAAATTGATAATGTAACTGTTAATCAGAGATTCTCCTAATAAGTAAACAAGCAATTTGTAGATACTGCTTTAAGAGCATCAACTTCTCAGTTTTAAAATCCTATATCACGATCTTAAGAAAGAATTAATCATATCAGCTTTCCTAATCTTAAGTAGAGACAATAAGAAATTATTAACCGCTCATCAATTACTTAAAACACTATGTTTCGAAAAGCTAGTAAACTTAACTACGAATTAGAATAAGATAATGCCAATTAAAATAACGCATATTCAAGGAATTAGGTACATCTCAGATCCGTTTAAAGGCAGTAATTAGAGTCAAGAATTTCTAACACAAGTCCATTTCAAAAAACATAAAACTTAAACACTAGTACTTAAAATATGAATATGTCTAATATGATTGACAAAAGAGTAACATAGAGTAGAATTGCTTCTAAGTCTCAACAAATGATTGGTAGGATTGCAAATAAATCTAGAATACTGAATCGATTGCCGTTTTACAAAGTGACTGGAGATAATTCAGTAGATCTGTAAAAATCTGTATACCCTTTCAATAAATCATTGATCACCTATTAAGTCAATGAAAAACTTAATGATGAAGAAGGATTTAACAGAAGCTTAGAATTCGCAATGAAAGTAGAGGAAGTAAATACTTCTGGCAAGCATAAAGTTGAAGATAGACTAGGGAGATTCGATGCTGATTTCAGAGGCAAGGTAGGAATGCTAGACGTTGCTCTTAATAGCTACATGAATGAAGCTAAGCATGAATTTCTAATTAAGCCCTCTCCTTATCATACCAGAGAAGAGATTTAGAAATACATTGATCTTGGGGTTAAGAATGAAGAAAAAGGCAAAAAGATATTCAATCAAGGAAAGATATCAGATTTTGACATTATCAAAGTAAAAAAGGTGAGCCACTTCACTGATCATTAAGGAAACTATCTTACTAAAACAGGGCACAAGATTGATGACTTTAGTCTGTAAAAGCATTAGAAGCATGTTGGAATAAGTAGTCTTTTGAAAAATGAATGGAGTCGAAATCAAAACTCAGTTGCATAAAGTATGGGTGGCCATAGATTACCAATTAAAAGAGAACTTCAAACAGCTGGTTCAATTAATAGAATAAGTAATACAATTTTCCAAACATATTTACTTTCGCTTTAGGTATTAAGAATTTTCAAAGCTCTTAAAATAAATCAGTAACTGAGCAAATATCCTAGTTTTCTCAAAAATTAAAAAGATTGGGGTCAAACGAACCTGTCATAAGCCCCAATAAAATGTCATTATTTTACCAAAGCACTTAGAGTCCAAGTAATAGGAGCCCAGTCAAGGTACAGGATGTCAAGAAAAGACAAGAAATCAAAGATGAAATACTTAGGTCTGAGTTAGACATATAAAGTTAACTTTTTGAAGATGACAGAGAAACTCATAGTATATTATCAAAGTCATCAGGACTGACATAACACACAAATCTAGTAATGAATCGTAAGAAAGGCATCAAGAGTATCTGGAATAACATTCAGCTCAAAACCTATTCAAAAGCAAAAGAGTGTAAATAATCATTTTTCCTTAAGTATTTATTTAGTGGGAAAAGTAAAACATCCCCAGGAATTGGCATTGATAGAGTTCATTTAAAAATGCGAGAAAGGATTGCAACTTCCATTCAGCTTAATGAACTGTCTAAAGCTAAATGAAGAAACTGGATTTTAACCTCATTTAGTATTAGATTTCAGATTGACGGAGCCGGCTGCTAAAGGTGTAGCCAAAGCTATTGAGATTTTAAATGACAAATTAGTTAGTGTGGATATGAAGAATATTGACTTATCAGACTAGAACATGAGTTCCATACTTGAAGGAATAAAGAAAAATCCCTATATACAGATACTGCAAATATACGGTTGTGAACTTGGAAATTTATCAACCTAGAAGCTTTGTGAAATACTTGAGCAATCATACCTAGTATATTAAGATGACTTAATAGAGAGTAAGGAGCAGTCTAAAGTATTACTGCTGAAGAAACTTTATCTAAAAGATTGTAAATTCAAAAACAAGAACATAGAGTAACTATTGAATTCTTTCGTTTATTTTGAGAGTCAGAATATAAATGAAAACTAAGTTCAGTCTACTTATAGAAGTAATCTGCAAAATTCTTATGCATCTCAAAATCTTTCAAATTTATTATCAAGACCAGTTACTGCACCTTTGAGCTACAAAACATTCTACCCATTTGAGGACTTAACTTTATCATAAAATAAGATATAAAAAGTAGAATCATTGATTAAGCTTATTAGTAATTCAGATTGCCTTAAAAACTTAGATTTATCCTTCAACTAGTTTAAACTTGTTGATACGGATGCCTTAATCTCTTCTTTTTCAATGAGCAATCTAAAAATGCTGAATTTAAGTTTCAATCATCTTAGTAAATTCGCACTTTAATAGCTATCTGAACTTATCAGATATTCTTGGACGCTTATTGATATAGATTTAGCACTTACTGGCATCGATAGTCTTCAAGAAGATATAATTAGTATGATGATGATGGCTAGGGATTCTCAAACTTTATAAGCAATCCATTTAACTGGTAATAATCTTAAACCTGACACACTTAAAAGGATAAGAGAAATTCTATAGATTGAGCCACACACAATCAAAAGAAGGATGGCAATGGAGAATGTTTTGGATATCAGTAATAACGATTTGATGGTAATTTAGTAAAACGCCACAATTCAAGATTCAAGCGTGTCAAGGAGTTAAGAATCACTGCAAATGTTTAGGCATCAGGAAGTCGTTCAGCATTCCTAAAAGGCTTAATCAAACTATGTTTAAATCAGCGAGAGATTAGTATTCCATAGAATTTTAGGTCATCCAGAAATTCCACTCTCAAATCAGTGGTGTGAGAGTGAGAACTGCTGGATTTGTTAGAAATTCAACTATTGCTTATTTTTCTATTAGACTTAGGATGATTATCATGATTAGAATGTATTTTTACCAGTTTCATTCAAGCCAGAGGGTTATATTCATATGTAGAAGGTTGAAGACTTTCTCGACGAACTGGGTTCTATTGCAGTTCACAAGAGTAACAATTGGTATGAAAATATGTTCAAAAGACTAAAGTATAAGAATCCTCATATTGTCCTGGACATAATCGACAAGGATTTTTATATACTCCAAAAAAAATAATGGTGGATAGGTGCTGATTTCATCGAACCCAAAATAGTGCATACTATAATTGTTGACGAGGTTGAATCATAATTCACGATTCCACTTAGAGTCTTCGATGTCAGAATTTGCTTCAAGGATTATCAAAATGAACTTTTAAAATAATCAGAAATTCAAGCTGAAGTAATAGACCCTCGTAAATTAACTAAAGAAGAAATTTAGATCCTTGAATAGAGATAAAACTATCCACTATTCAAACTCAGAGAAAACATCTAAACCCAAAGATAATCAGACTCTCCAGATGCCTCACCCATTGCAAGCAAATTTAAAATGTTTGCCTAGTACAAACATGATGAAAGTGATCATATATCAAAGTGCTTTGATACAGACTTTAGATATTCTTCCATTACATCCTTGGTGGAAAATTCTTCACAAATGCAAAGGGTAAGTGAGGCTCTTTCCTAGGTATACCAGTTGTTCTGTGAGATGTTTGTCTATGAGATTGCCGAGTCTGATTACTATCCTTATATGACACTTTCATAGTTAGAAAGATTCTGCGATAAATATAAACTTTTGACAATTAACAATTTCAAAGCAAGTGATACTCTGTAGACCACTCAGCAGTCTGAATTTTTTAAATAAAGCATTTTAAAGGATTTGTATAATAAGACTTTTCGAGGAAAGCAATAAGCCTCTAGCGGCTAAAACAGTAGACTCAATCAGATTTAACTCGGAGAGGCTAAGTAATAAAATAATTTATCTCCATTATTGCTTAAAGAGTAGTCATTGCCAGTGTAGAGTGACAACTATGCGCACATGATTCAACTAATTAAGAAAAACAAGGTTGAAAAACTATGCAGATTCTAATTCCTAGAGATGATATTTAGAATAGCTCTGAAGACCTCAACTGGGCTAGATTCATATACTGCCAATGAGAAGTTTATTAGCCTTATGCTTATCCCCTAGTGGGATCATCCTAAATTAAATGAGGAAAGATTGAGAAACTTATAAACCCTAGAGATTGATTAAGTACTAAAATCTCATTAGCCTGTCCTTAAACATGTAAGTTGTATGATAATTTATTCATTTATTCTAGGTTTTCAATACAACCCAGATCAAGAGCCTGGTGAGTCTAGATCTAATAACTAAATTTATGCTGAAAGTATTCCCAGATTAGTTAGCAAAGAAAGATATTCAAAAATGCTTCATTTTATCAAAAAAGTATGTATTGTTTTCCCTTGATGTATATAGATTTGTTATTGATGAGTAAGAGGAATTCGATAAGTATTTTACTATGGAAATGAGAGAATTTTATGAATTCTTAGTGAGAATTTCAATGATAGTGATTGAGGAGGACTGGCCCCTATTTTATGTGGTAGATCGAATGCTTTTAAGGCTTGAGAAGAAGTTAAATCTCGATCAAGCTTCCTAAAAATGAGAATACAATAGTCCCTAAAAATCTATCAAATTTTGAATGATATTGGAAAAAAGATATCTATTGAATATACATAGACTAAGTTTTATTGGTTTTAAATGTCTATTTAAACTTAAAATCATAATCTTAATTTAATAACTCATTAAATCTTTATGAAATAAGTGCCTAAAATTTAAACATCAATCAACTAAATTTATAATTCCTAGCTCGATAAAATATTCAAACACAATATCATCCGTAAATACAAGCCAGGTGAAAGTGTGAATCTCGATCATATGAGGTCTCTTTGTCAGTATTTCGGAGACCCTCAGAAAAAGTTCAAGAGCATTCATATTTCTGGTACTAATGGAAAGGGAACTGTGAGTCTGAAGACAGCAAATATACTATACAAAGCAGGATTCAAAATAGGTTTGCTAACTTCACCGCATATCTCGACATTTAGAGAGAGGATCACAGTGAATCATGAAAAGATGACTTAGGATTAACTAGTCGACTACGCCGATATGGTTTTCAGAGCAGTTAATGCTAAGAGGATGGAGGCTACTTTTCACGAGTTAGTCACTCTAATTGCATTCCTACACTTTTCAGAATTAAATGTTGATTACGGAATTCTAGAGTGCGGGTTAGGAGGAAGATTAGATCCAACAAATGTAATTGAGAAACCTGTCGTTACAGCAATAACATCAATTGCATTTGACCATATGGAATACTTGGGTTCAAATCTTGAGAGTATTGCAGCTGAAAAAGCAGGAATAATTAAGCATGGGGTGCCTGTGATCATTGGCCCGACTGTAGTTTAAGACTCTGTCTATTGTAAGGCCAAGGCTATGGATGCAAAAATTGTAGCAGTAAAGAGGAAAAATTTCATCAAGTCTAATGATGAGATAGTTAAAAAAATAATAGAAAACCTTAGTATAAACTTATAGCCTCATGAATTCGACTCAGGCCTTAAAATCAATATTCCTTGTAGGATGGAGTAACTTTCTAAGGAGATGGTTTAAGGTATTATCAAAAGCAAAAACCCTCCTATTGTCTATTTGGATGTGTGCAGCAACCCTTAAGCCACAAAAAATGTCATAACTGAGATTTCAAATCGCCATCCCATGAAAAAAATTTAAGCAATATGTGGGTTCCAAAGAAACAAAGATATGCTGAGCATGCTTCACTATTTAGCAACTCATAAAAATTTAAGATCTATTTGCCCTATCACCCTTGACCATGAGAGTGTTACACCAATCAATGAGTATAAAGTCAAAGTTCAGGAAGTTTAAAAACTCATAAACTCTTTTGAGAAATCCTCAGTTTTCTTAGAACCAATACAAGAAGGCCATCTGTCTAATACTCTCGAATAAGCATTAAAGCAATGTCATAGTAACAAGGATATATTACTAGTCTGTGGTTCGTATAACATTATGCATGATGTAAGATAATTTTTCAAATTTGATGAAGAATATGACTCTCAAATCTTCTCACACTTTTGACTTCTACTATTTAATATTAGTATCAAGCTCATTCATCTCAATATTTGAGATAGATTATAACAATAGAAGTATGATAGTAGAAAGTAATGCTATTTTTTATTTAATAGATTTATCCGAATATCCATAACTATCTTTATTTCATTAAGTTTTCTAGACATTTTTAATACTAGATACATGGGGTTTTGGGGTTTTGGGGTTTTGGGG